CCCTCCCCTCTCCCCCTCTCCCTCCCCCCCCTTTCCATTCCATCTCCCACTCTAACCCCGTACCCTGTTCGTCCACAGAGGAAATATGCTGATGTAGCGGAGGCCCACGCCATCCACGCCTACTTCTACTCCGGCAAGAAACACATTCTAGATGTGAGTACGAAACTTAATTAAATTTTGTTCATGCAGCGGTGTCCTTTCAACACTCTGCAGTCACACAGCCAGCAGTACAAAACACCCCATCTGGTCACCCAGCTAAGAGAGCGACTGCAACAGACTTCTCGTGCCTGGTGACCGGAACGGATAATTTTCACCGGCGATTTATTGCACCAAGTGACTGCAGAGTGTTACCAAACATTCCTTTATAAATAACCCCCTTCGTAGGTGATTGGCGGGTGTTTTGGTGTGGTTTGATGCTCCTTTCTTATCACCCATCTATCATCTTTATCTCTCCTCCTTTTTTGTGGATGTTACTCTCTTGTGACACATCTATCATCTTTATCTCTCCTCCTTTTTTGTGTATGTTACTCTCTTGTGACACATCTATTCTTCAGCACTTCTATGAATTGTGTTGCAAGGGCAGTAAACCTCTTGCTGAAGCTAAATACCCCCCCCCCCCCTTCAACTACAACAGTTTCCTCTAACTGCAACTTTCATTGCAGTAAATTGTCTAAGGAGATTTTCAATGATTTTTTTGAAGATCCAAAAACTGTGAACACCAACGCTGGCCTATTTGATTTCAGTGTGTGTGTTATGTTTTTCCTCTTTTGTTTTTCTGCTAAAAAAATTACTCATCATGCCAACACTTAGTTCAAACTCTCTCGGCAAGGGCCACCCTCCTTCTAGAGGGTTGAGGGAAACAATCTCATCCTTACCATCCTCATTTTCCTCTACTTCTTTTGTATGTTTGTCACTCTCTTGCGACCTGCTATTTCCGGGATGCCTTGATAGTCGAAGCAGACTTTGTGCTGTTGAGGCTAGAGAGGTGAGCAGAGTAAGTCTGATTCCCTGTAAGGACTTCTCTGTTGACATCCACCCCTTGGTGCTCATTTGACCGTATGCAGTTGACACCCACCCCTTGGTGCTCATTTGACCGTATGCAGTTGACATCCACCCCTTGGTGCTCATTTGACCGTATGCAGTTGACATCCACCCCTTGGTGCTCATTTGACCGTATGCTTTGTGAGCTCCGTAAAAACCTTACTAAAACTAAAGAAGATCCAAAAACTAAACTCTAACACTGGCCTATGATTTCAGTGTGTGTGTATGTGCACATCTCTCCTCGTTTGCTTATCTCCTTAAAAAATTGCTTAGTTCAATCCCTCTCAGCAAAAACCACCCTTCTTCAACAGACTTGAGGGGAGAAGTCCCGGACTCCGCACCTCCCATGTTCCAACACTGTGTGTGTGTGAGTGTGTGTGTGTGTGTGTGTGTGTGTGTGTGTAGGGGGGGGGGTTATCATAATCTTTTCAGTTGACAGCCTGACCAAGACAATCACCTGTACAAACGACCTCTTCCCACTTCCCCCACTGCGGTGTTTCTGTGTTCCACTGACACTGACCCAGACACAAAGAACACCTGTGTAAGACGATCACTTTTCTCCTCCACAAGGACTGGTTGTTTCAGACAAGTTTGACTGGGTTTTTTTGTGGTGAGGACAGAGTTTTACGGCGCTCACAACTGCATAAGGTCGTATGAGCACACAAGTTCATTGTGTACATTGTGCAGAAATAATTGTATTTAAATAAAGTTCTAAGACATTTGCCCTCCCCCCAGGGCGGTGCCACTGACTGGAGTGTCTTTAGGCCATTCCCAAATGGGGATGTTCACATGTTCTTATGCACAGTAGAATTAATTGTAAATGGGCTGATTTATCAATGTCATGCTCATACAGTGCCGGAACAACATAGTAGGGGGAACTGCTGCTTTTTCTTTCCTCATTTACAACAGAATTGGATGATAGAAGTGCTGAAGATTAGAGGTGCTACTGGAGAGTAACATACAGAGAAAAGGAGGAAGAGAGATGAGTGAGGATGATAGATTCTATTGTAGAGATGTCTATTGTAGAGATGAGGACGATAGATTGTATTGTAGAGATGAGGATGATAGATTTATTTTAGAGATGAAATGAGGATGATAGATTCAGTTGTAGAGATGAGGATGATAGATTCTATTGTAGAGATGAGGACGATAGATTCTATTGTAGAGATGAGGATGATAGATTCTATTGCAGAGACGATAAATTCTATTGTAGAGATGTCTATTGTAGAGATGAGGATGATAGATTCTATTGTAGAGATGAGGATGATAGATTCAGTTGTAGAGATGAGGATGATAGATTCAGTTGTAGAGATGAGGACGATAGATTCAGTTGTAGAGATGAGGACGATAGATTCAGTTGTAGAGATGAGGACGATAGATTCAGTTGTAGAGATGAAGACGATAGATTGAGTTGTTTGGTGGTTCAGGTCCTCCATCAGTGAGTTGTTGTTCCTTGCATCAGTTATCTGCCCATGTTGCCGGGCTATGCAGGAATATTGTGATTTGATGTCGTGGGGTTTTCTACTGTTTGATTTTTTTGTGGGTGGTTGGCGGGTGCTCTGGTGTGATTTGCTTCTTTTTCACTGTCAAATATCTATCGTCTTTATCTCTCCTCCTTCATTTTTGTGTTTGTTACTCTCTTGTAACACCTCTAATCTTCGGCACATTTGTGATCTAATTGTGTTGCAAGTGCCGTAAAACTCTTACCAAAAAAATCTCTGTGTTTTGTGACAGAAGATGATAAAAGTACCCATTTTTGAAAAGAAATGTAGATATTCTCCTGCCCCTCATGGACACAACATTTAGATAAGTTAGGAGGTGGGCTTGTGGCGCTCCCTGCGTGGGGGGCTCTCGTGGCCTAGAGGTCAAGGTGTTGGCCTCTCATTCAAAGGTCCCGGGTTCGAATCCGGGTAGCGACCGAAACATTTTCTTCTCTAAAATTGTCTCCTTTAACCTCCTTTCCTACTCTCTAGCAATGTTCTGTTGTCTGCTTTCATTTCCACTTTCTGCCCCCACCCCCTCACCTCCTTTGCCCCCTCCTCTGGGCTCCTGACTCTTTGTGCAGCCTTTCTACTGCTACTCCTTGGCTCCTCCTTACTGCTGTCTTTCTGCCACACCCCTGATCTTCTGGTAGGAAAGATCTACACCTAGCCTTCTCGGACAAGGGCGAAAAATCTCGGAGGGCCCGTGTGCAAGTTGCGCACGTTAAAGATCCCTTGGTGGTCTTAAATCGATAAGAGTAGGCTTCGGCCGCCACCCGGGCAAAATTCAAAATTTCCTACCAACTGAAAACATTAGGTGTGTCCCGCGCGCTCATGTGACCTATGCAGTTGCGAGCGCCGTAAAACGCTTTACAAAAACAAACAAAAAAACTGCCTGCCTGGGCCAACTGGCCTGGGAGAGATACAACGTCCCTGCAGAAAGACCCGAGATGCTGGATAAACCTTTCTCTCTCCTCTCAGGAATATCGAACTCGAGTCTTCTGCGTTGTCAACAGACGGATGCTGGAATAGAAATAGCTGTCCATATACATGGAAGTTTAGGTTATAGCATATTATGTGCTTTTGTTCATGAAGTCTTCAAATAATTGTATGTTAGCGACAGTTGATACCTAGAGTAGAGGAACTATGACGCGTTTTTTTTTTTTTGCAGCCAGAAAAGGGGATTTGGGGGTGAGGTTGGGGGGGGGGGGCGATGGTAAACAAAGCCAGTAAACTAAACATTTGTCGGAGGAGTTTGCTTTTGACTGGTGACATAACACAAAGTTACACAAATTTACACCTATGGGTATCATGGCTTTGATGTACCCGTGTGCAGAACGTACCGCGAGCTATTCTCTTCTTTCTTCTTTTTTTAATAGTTTTTCAGAAAACGTTTTAGGGCACTTGCAACACAATAAGGTCACATAAGTGTTGACGATTAGAGATGTTACAAGAGAATAACAAACCCACAAAAGGAGAAGAGATACGGGCGTTACAGATCTAGATGTTTGATTGCAACGGAAAAACAAACCACACTAGAGCACCCGCCAATCACCCTCTTTTTTTCTTTATTATTCTTCATTTTTCTTTTTTTATGGCTAACTTTTCTGTCTTTCCCCCCAGCCGAGTAATTTTCCTCCTCTGATATTGCTCAAGCCAAACAAACTGTTCTGTTTCTGGTGTGTGTGTTTCATTTTTAGGTTCCCTCGTCTCACTCTCTCATCATCTGATTGATATACAGAGTGCTTTCATAATCAACCACATCCTAATGGATTCTTTTTTGTGTGTGTCAGTCAACTTTAATATAATTTATGGTGGGTGTATATGTCTTATTTTCCAAGTTGAGGAGAAAGGAATTGATGCGCCAGCTCTAAGTTAGCGCGCGTAAGATTTTTTCTCTCTGTTGATGAAAACTGTCTTTGGTTGTAAAGTTTCCGCAGCTATTAATATTTGAAACCAGACTAGCGAAAGATACATTTTTTTAAATGTGAGAGGGGCACCTACTTTTTTTCAAGCCAAGGCATATTTTTATTTATTACCCCCCCCCCCAAAAAAAAAAACAACAACCCCCCAACCAAAACAGCAACAACCAAAACAGCAACAACCGACGATACCTTGTTATTTAAAAAGTAACATCGACAAACCGGCGAAACGCCTCGATTGTCGGAATCCTGCGAAATGTGCTGATGTCATGGAAACGAAATATGAATTTTGTTTTCTTTGAAGTTGATGCGAAGCTGAATATGAATCATTTATGACGTTAGCATATTTATTTGGAAGAGTTTGTCTGGGCGTACGTGACGATTCCGTTTCTTTCTCTCTCTCCAAGCGAACAGACTGGATGAGTTGAGCACATGGGACACAAGCACATTATGCTTGCACCTGCTTCTTTCATCATATCGACAGCGGCAGTTTTTGTCCGAAAATTGAGTAGTCACCCTTAAGCAACGTGGCCTTGGAAAATAAAACTAGAAAGGTCACCTTAATTAATTTTACACTTTCTTGTTTTTTTGTTTTTGGAGCAGACGGTAGGGGTGAAGGCCGGTCATAACCTGTCTGAGCCAGTTTGTTCACTTGCTGTACTCTTACATTACAGTATTCTCACACAGATTTCTGTGACCATGTGTGTTTCTAATATCAATCAGCAGCTATAATGTTGTCATACGCCTTCAGAAGTTTTGATATACATTTCTAAAGCATAAGGGTTTGTCGTGGCATTAACTTTTACAAATGACAAAATCAGCCGGAAGGAAAAAACCGCAGTGTCAATTCTATGGAATGTTCTGGATTGAGAAGTTACAGCTTTCATAGAGGTCAAAGATGAAGTTGCATCTGACAGCGCCCCACCCCCACCCCCCTCGTGGGGAAAGGGCTATGGATATTCACTTCACCTATCCCGTAGACTGGATGTTCGTCGGGGCTTTTGAAGATTTGGCCACCAGCTTCCTCCTCTCCTTCCGGTCTTCAGCTTTCCTGAGCGTGTCTTTGAGTTCCAGGCCTGTCCATTCCTTGATGTTGTCCTCCCAACTCTTCTTCGGTCTGCCTCTGCTCCTTTTCCCCTGGACACTTGTAGAAAATGAACGAATTAAAGCCAAGGAAGCTGGGGGAAGGGGAGGGGGAGACGGCTTCTGTGGTGTAGCGGTCAATGCTTCGCCCTTGCTCACAGATGACCGGAGTTCTATTCCCGTGTAGGATGACACTGATCGAGCATCTCCGTCTTTTTGTGGGACACTGATCGAGCATCTCCGTCTTTTTGTGGGACACTGATCGAGTATCTCCGTCTTTTTGTGGGACACTGATCGAGTATCTCCGTCTTTTTGTGGGACACTGATCGAGCATCTCCGTCTTTTTGTGGGACACTGATCGAGTATCTCCGTCTTTTTGTGGGACACTGATCGAGTATCTCCGTCTTTTTGTGGGGCACTGATCGAGCATCTCCGTCTTTTTGTGGGACACTGATCGAGCATCTCCGTCTTTTTGTGGGACACTGATCGAGTATCTCCGTCTTTTTGTGGGACACTGATCGAGTATCTCCGTCTTTTTGTGGGACACTGATCGAGCATCTCCGTCTTTTTGTGGGACACTGATCGAGCATCTCCGTCTTTTTGTGGGACACTGATCGAGTATCTCCGTCTTTTTGTGGGGCACTGATCGAGTATCTCCGTCTTTTTGTGGGGCACTGATCGAGTATCTCCGTCTTTTTGTGGGACACTGATCGAGCATCTCCGTCTTTTTGCGGGGCAGTGGAATGTCAGTGCCCTTGGAGAAGGTGGAAAATGTCAGTGAAGTGCCTAATTGTGTCCCTCTCAGCCCCGGCTGGCCCTGGCAGACAAGGTTCAAGCGCTCCTTTTAATTGGTCGGAATTGTGCAGATAGGGAGACAAAAATACTTATGAAAAAATCCCCAGGCTGTCAGGGACACACCGTCCCAGCGGAAAGAAAAGACTGAGATACTCAATAAAAATTCTCCCCACTTGGAATCGAAGTAGGATGTCCTGCGTGTGACGGCGAAGCGCCAGACTGTTGCATCACATACCTCGGATGACCCCCCCCCCTCACCCCGGGTGGTGCTACTGACTGAAGTCTCTCTAGGCCGTTCCCAAAGGGGGGACATTAACATGTTCTTATGCTCAGTAGAATTGTAAATGGGCTGATTCATCAATGTCACGCTCATAACTGTGCCTGAACTACAACAGGGAACTGCTGCTTTTTCTTTCCTCATCCTTACTATCGTCATTTTCTCTACTTTTTTGTATGTTTGTCACTCTCTTGTGACCCGCTATTTCTGGGATACCTTGATAGTCGAAGCAGACTTTGTGCTGTTGAGGCTAGAGAGGTGAGCAGAGTAAGCCTGATTCCCCGTTTGAACTTCTCTGTTGACATCCACCCCTTGGCGCTCCTATGACATTATGCAGTTGCGAGCGCCGTAAAACCTTACTAAAACTAAAGACCCTGGATGTATAACTGTGATCCCAAAACGTTGTATTGTACATGTATTCATATATCGTTATGTTGAAACATGAGATCTCATAATTTTGTTATGATAAGACAAAGACTGCATCATGAAGGGTGTTCTAAGTTTTTCTGTTTCTCAGTCGCGAATTCCTATTGATTAAGTAAATGTATTTGATTGATCTTGTTTTGAGACCCGTTGATTAAGTACATGATGTATTTGATTGATCTTGTTTTGAGACCCGTTGATTAAGTACATGATGTATTTGATTGATCTTGTTTTGAGACCCGTTGATTAAGTACATGATGTATTTGATTGATCTTGTTTTGAGACCCGTTGATTAAGTACATGATGTATTTGATTGATCTTGTTTTGAGACCCGTTGATTAAGTACATGATGTATTTGATTGATCTTGTTTTGAGACACTTTGATTAAGTACATGATGTATTTGATTGATCTTGTTTTCAGACCAGGAAGACGGAAAGATTTCCAACTCTGCTGGTATTCAAGGACAATCATTATTACGAATACTTCCGTGAGTATCTTTTGCCATAATATATTTTAAATGCTTGTTGCATTGTTAGGAGTACTCAGTAGGACATTGATATGGACAGACTGGGTTTACGGCCACAAAAAGCTACGTCATGTTTACTTGTCGGCCATGTTTTATGAACTGATCTCTGGAACACTTCTACCTTGAAAGTTTGGTTAGATTATTTTAGAAATATGGATGTTGTGCAACACTCGTAGACCAGATTGCCCTTATGTAAAGTTATTGCTTAATCCCTCAGTTGTGACCAGCTGTCTGTAGGCTTTGTTAGTCTTCAGGTTTAGCTGCGAGATTTTTCCAGTACTGTCACCCTCTCAGCCGTGCTAGTGAAATCACTCTTTTGGGGCTGTTGATATATTATTATATATTGAATGTTGCAAAGTCTTTCATTTTTTTAAAAAGAAAAAGAAAATGGTTGATGTGAAGTTTGCTCATGTTTGTTGAGTGATAACGATGGGAAAACGTTTGTGGTGGTACATAATCAGAGCCTGGATGGGGTAAACATGTCAGGGCCAGACACGTTTTTCCCCGTCGTAAGAACAAAGCAAACAGCAGTTCATTGAATGATACAGAAATCTTTACCTGTCAAAACTCCAGGAAACATTGGAATGTAAACTTTGAAATTGAAATGAGAGTGGCAAGAACGTAGCTGTATAGTTTTTGAAGAAGTGGTTTGTTGGGCTTGGAAATTTCCCAAATTTTAATAGAAATTTCCGGAACCCCCC